GCATCCGATTAGCTGCTCAGAGTAAATTGCTTGTGGCTCAACGGACAGTCAAATAAACGAATGTTTCCTGGAATGCTTTACTTGTTATCATGCTAAAAACCTTGCGCTAACTGGAGCGCTAATTAGAGAGAAGGCGAGTTCCATCGCGCTAACTATGGCCATTGAGGACTACGAAGCGTCCCGTGGCTGGCTTTAAAAGTTCATTGCATGACATCAGCTGAGCAACGCTGTCTTGGGTGGCGATCGAGGGGAGGTCGAGTTAGAGACAGTGAGATGCTGGAAAGAAAAGCCACATGGTCCAGGAAGTATTTGTTATTGTTAGATTCAGATGCAGCATTAATGTTGCATTGCTAAAATGGCTACAAAACGGACCTTTGGATGTCAAGCAGCTAAGACAAGAAGCGCTCTGACGCTGGAAGAGAGGGTAAAAGTGATCAAAATGAAAGACGGAGGAAGCAAAATAAAAGACATTATCCAAGAAATTGATGTAAGTGAAAGTGAATGCTGATCGTAAATTTTGCAATTTCTTTCCCTTTTTTTTCTTTCTACTCAACTCAACTCAACTGTATTTATAGAGCACTTTCAAACAGCCATCACTGCACACAAAGTGCTGTACATGGAGCAACTAACATATACAACAGTAAAGCAACAAATCAGTAACAAAGATGGTAGAAAGCACCGAAGAGCAAAACCAAGAACAAATCTGGGTCATGCTGAGTCAAATGCCAAAGAATACAAGTGAGTTTTGAGGCGGGTTTTGAAGATGGGCAGCGAGGAGGCTTGCCGAATGCTCAGTGGGAGGTCATTTCAGAGAGAGGAACCAGCAACAGAAAAGGCTCGATCCCCGCTGAGCCTCAGTTTAGTTCTACACTGACTATATGAAGTGTCAAATGTGTGCTCATAGTTATGCACTCTTGGAATAAAAATAGAGTACACATATGATTGTGTGTGCGTGTTTGTGTGTGTGTTTACATCTGAGATCAAATTTGCTAGTGAAAAACCCCCTGTTGTGAAAAATTTCTTGCTGCAAACATGATTTTGTTGTAGAGGAGTTTCACTGTATTTCCAAATGTAACGAATGTTGCCTTATCATCAGAGTTCGTTCAAGGTTGCAAGCATTCGCCAAATGTTCTACAGACCTTAACCTATACTTGTTCAGAATTTCCTTGTGACAAGAACAAAAACATTAAAACTGTTGGCGACGAGCTGGCAGACGTTCGTGGCCTTCAACAAACCCTGACGTGAATGCACATTTGTTGTCTTTGCCAGCATCCGCAAATGTTTTCCCCTTGGTGGGATGCAGGCTTAAAGAAAGGGGAAAAAAGCTATTTTTGCTGTCATTTATCCCATCAGGTAAAATTTACCCAAGCCGGGATGAGTATGAAGCACACCAGGAAAGAGTGTTGGCCCGCATTAGCAAACACAACAACCAGCAAGCACTGTCCCACAGCATAGAGGAAGGACTGAAGATACAGGCTATGACCAGGTAAACCAGCTTGTTAACCTGCATTCATGTCGTCTCCAACATGGCCGGTTCTCAGACTGTATGGTCCAAAGAGATGGTCAAACGCTGACCCACTTCGAGAGTCAATATTGTCTTCCGTTTACAATTAGTTACCAGACTTCACTGCTTACAATATTGCAGACATACTACAGATGAAACTTAACTCATATTTGTGCTGTCGTTTGTGTGGCAATGTATTATGAGTGGTGAAAAAGAAAACGAATAACTTTCTATTCCTTCCATTCTAGGAGACCCTTGCAGGTAAAGAAAAACAATATTGGGATGTCAAACAACTCATTAGAAATATAATTGTGAAAACATCGGAGTATTAATCTAGTGATTTGAGGAAATTGTAATTTTTCATGTGTCCACTAAATTGAACTTTGTGCACCATTAGCTGTGTTTTGACTACACTGTACAGTATTGCTGCAACTTTGTTTTTGAAAATATACCATCTGCAGTAACGTTTTAGCAGAAAATCAGATGAATTTTTATTATAGCAACATTTTATGGATATTAGTCTTCATATAATGGTATGGATCATTGTCCCTCTTTTGTAGCGTCAGGTGCAGAGCATGCGACCAAAACTACAGGATAGTCTTACCCATAACACCATCTGCCTCAAGTGAGGATGATGTCAGTGGCAGCGATGATGAATGGTTACCAGAAAAAAAAAATGGTAGCAGTTATGACAGTCTAATTGAGGATGTTGAGGAAGATGAGGATGCTGAAGAAGCTTAGGGAGCTGCGTACGTCCCAGGTGACAAAAAATACAAACCTCAAAGGCAATGAGTTTGAGGGAGACGATCCCCCTTATATTGTAGACTCTCCTACAATGAGAAGTGAGTATTGAGGGAACAGACTCAATACATTTCTTCATGCATCAATATTCTAAAAATCTGATCGATGCAATAGTGCTCCAATCAAACCTCTGTGCACTGCAGAAAAAAAGGCCCTTTCAGATGGTGAAATGAAGCAGTTTCTATAGTTCAGAGTTAGGCTTATGGCTTTGTGTCCTTGTTGCTTTGCCAAGTTCCATGCAGGATAACCTTTTCTCCTGAAAGCATATGGTTTTGATGTACTAAGGAACATTTGAAAGAAAGTGTCATAACAGCAGGCTGTTTTGTAGTAGCAGTAGGCCTGTTCATTGTTATGGTTGAAATTATTTGCACTGTGTTATCTGTGTTTTCAAAAAGTGCACTTTGGTTGAGATGTTTCAAATCTGAACAAGTGGTCATTAAATAAATTGTGAAAAGCAGTTTCAGGCGTTTGTAATACACATTTTGCTGCCAGTAATTTCAATGTTGCCTCAAACCATAGATTTATTTATTTTATCAGCCTCCTTGACGAATTAATAATTGGTATCGACCCTGAAAACAGTGGAACAGTCCATCACTACCGAAAATGTATGTAGAACTGAACTGCATTATATTATACAGATGATGGAAATTTGCTCATTACATTTCTTTGTCAGACTGCAGCGTGGTAAAAGACAAACAGTGGAGAATGGGAGTGGAGCTGAAGATAATGGAGACTCCTCACACTGCAGTAATGCGTCCGTCCATAGCAATCAGGTAATTTCTTATCAACAGCACATCATAGTATTTACCAAAGGGAATGTACATTTTCACTCATCTATTTACAAGGGAGGGATGTGCAATTAATCAAAATTTAATCGTGATTTTGATGTTGCTTCAGGATCATAGAAACATAATTGAAGAAAAACAAGGAATGTGCCAAAGGGCACTGTGTCTGTTGGAAAGTTCCTATGTTGTGAAAGCACCTTGAATGTGTTTCTTGGGCAGCAAGCGTGTGATGTGTATTTGATTCTGCATTCCCTGTGTGTGCTATGGTGACACCCCAGTTGGTGTGTATTGTAAAACTAAACGGACAACAAAAAGAATTACAGTGGCACCTCTACTTACAAAGTTAATTGGTTCTGGAAGAAATTTCTCAACTCTACTAAGTAGAGACACGTTTTCCATGTAAATGTCCTAATTTGTTCCAAGCCCCCCAAAATTCAGACATAAATGTCAAGCATAAAAAGGCATCCAAGTATGTAACAAATACATGTTACAATTAGATTTTTGCACAGTAAATGAGAGTTCTGCATGATGTAAAATAAAAAATGAATAGAGTAAAGAATAAAAATGACTGTCATTTAACTTTTAACTGCGTCCACGTTCTCTCTCAAAAGTGGTTTTTGCCTGGCGTTTTGTAAAGAACTGATCCAAGGACGATTGCTTTTGTCGGCTTTTAACAATCCTTTGAAAATGTCCAAGGCAAACATCAGCAGAGTGAGCGATCGCCCGACTGGTGAACGCTTTTTCTGGGTGATTCACATTTACCTAAAACAATTGGAAAACCTCCTGGGCGAATGACGAGGACACTGCATCGACACATATCTATCTTCACACATAGACACACATGGTAGAAATCCCTCTTAGCCAATGGGATGTCAGAATGATACTCAGTAATAGCCAGTGGCAGAGCAGCTATAAATATGTTGCGTTCAGGAAACTCGGAGCTGGGAATAGCAGGCTAGACTGTATTTTTACTTCATTGTATCTTGAAATTTCTTTTGTAACAAGAGGCAATCTTTTCCTGTTGAGACATTTCGTAACTTGAAAATTTCGTATGCAGAGACGTTCATAAGTAGAGGTACCACTGTACACACATTGTATTTGTAAATGAGACATGCTTTGTTTTCGAAAAATCACCGGTGCTCAGTGTTCCCTTTAAATTACCAGTGATCTGAGCATTCACACAAACTCCCCGAGAATTCCTCGGACCACAGTGAGCAACATAAGACATGCATAAATGCATATGCCAGCCATTATCCATTCCAACCAACCATTATCCCATGTCCAAAACCTGAGATTGTAAAAACCCAATTACAATGAAGCTGTGACAATGTGTTAAACAAAGGTTCATTTTCACAAAGGGATTACGAGGATTAATTAAAGGGACGTCCAGAGAAGCTATTTGCTAAAATAACAATGTCATTTTGAAAGACCAAAATTAGAAGTGCTAGCACTTCACGGAGGTCCCCCTGAAACGGCGTCAAAAAAACGCTTATTGAACTTGGATCAGAAAAATTGCAGGGAATTTAGTGTCTGGCAAGAAAATTAATACAAAATAATGTTTTTTTACACACACACACACACACACACACACACACACACAGCTAAAAAGGAAACGCTACAGCATCACGCATGTCAACCTGTAGGAGTGCCCTAGAAGATAAAACATTCATATTGAGGCTCAGCGATTCTGAAAATGGGTGTATATTAAATGCATATAATATGAAGGACATAATTTGAGTGGTTAGCAATTACCTTAGCCGAGCCCTCAACTTCCAGCACACTTGGATCATGCAGCGGGACAACAATCCAAAACACTCTCGCAAGTCCACCTCTGAATGGCTCAAAACTAAATTAATGTTTTGGAGTGGCCAAGTCAAAGTCTGAATTTGAATCAAATTGAGATGCTGTGGTGTGGCCTTAAACGGGTAGTTCTTGCTAGAAAACCCGCTTATATGGCGGAGTTGAAACAATTGTGCAGAGAATGGGCCAAAATTCCTCCACAGCAATGTCACACTCATCACCATTTCTCGCAAATGCTCAATTTCGGTTTTTGCTGCCAAGGGTGCCACAAACCATTATTAGGCTCAGAGGACAATTTCTTTTTTTACAGAGCCATGGGCAGGTTTGGATTTTTTTTTTTTTCCTTCATAAATTAAATGGCATTTAGAAACAGTATTTTGTATTTCCTCGGTTGTCTCTGTGTAATATTAAAATTGGTTTGATGAACTCAAACCTTTGTGTGATTAATATGCAAACATCAGACATTAGGAAGGAGGCAAATACTTCTTTAACGACACTGTTTTTTAAACTGTAGATAGAACATGACATATAAATATAATTACTTTGCTGAGTTACTAATTACTTTTACAAGGCAGTAACTAAGTTAGTAATTGAATCATTTAATGCATTTAATGGGCTGTACTTTGCAACATCGCCACATCATGCAACAGCAATTCTTATTTTGAATCGCCTCGAAAACAGTGGTCGAGCCTCACCACTTGTGAAATGTTATGACAGGCTGCAAGTGTGAATAGTGCACCACAACCTTGCACACTTGAGTTGATCCCACCCCGCCATACGCCTGCTGCAATGTGGAGTGGTGTATTTTGAGGCTATTTGGGTCTAATGGAAAAGCGCCATACGCCTCCATGTGTCCCTTTGTGCTAACTATGAATTTGAAACGTTCCCGCAGGAGGCTGGTCCAAGCATAAAGCGCACCAAGACAAGTGATGACAGTGGACTTGACATGGACAATGCTGCTGAGAACGGGGGAGGTGACTCTGTGATTGACAGCGGTGCCAGTGAAATAGAATTGGTTTTCAGGCCTCATCCCACACTGATGGAAAGGGACGATGGTCACAACAGGTAAATAAAAGTTCATATCATTTGTATTATTTAAACAAGGATAATTAGGGAAAAATTTGAGATGTATGATGCCTGTTGCCGCCACTGCACAAGAAACTCACGATCTCGTGTCCAGAACTTTGGAGCGCAAAGCAGCGCTAACGCAAAAAAATAAGAGAAAATGCATTTTATTCAGCCAATAATATACTAGCATGAAGACATTGTTTTTGAGATTTCCTATGAGTGTTGAATTTAAATTGGGGGTTAAATACTAATCCGAGATTTTATAATTCCATTAGATTTTGAAAATGTATATTGTAATTTTGTTCAGAATATTTTTTTTTAATAGAAAAACACAGACACAGTTTTTGAAAGATTCAGCATCAAGTGATTTTTATTGCGCCGCTGCCTGACATTGGCCAAAGATGCAGATAGATCAGCCCCCGCTGTGGTCTCTTGGCATTGAGGCATTCAGCTGGCAACTGACATCAGCACAGATTGGGGGGCAAGCAAGTCATTTATAAAGAGACTAAACAGCAACGGCCTGAGTATGGAGCCCTGTGGAATCCATCCATCCATTTTCCGATCCGCTTTATCCTCACAAGGATCGCGAGAGGTGCTGGAGCCTATCCCAGCCGTCCTCGGGCAGTAGGCGGGGGACACCCTGAACCGGGTGCCAGCCAATCGCAGGGCACACATAGAAGAACAACCATCCGCACTCACACCAGGACAATTGAGAGCGTTCAGTCAACCTGCCATGCATGTTTTTTGGAAAAGGGGAGGAAACTGAAGTACCCGGAGAAAACCAATGCAGGCGCGGGAAGAACATGCAAACTTCACACAGGAAGGCCGGAGCCGAAATCAAACCCTGTACCTCTGCACTGTCAGGCCGACGCATTAACCAGTCGAGCACCGGGCCGCAGCTCTGTGGAATAACCATTTTTAAAATTTTAGCATTGGAGCGCTATCTTGACCAATTTTAACACCCTGAACCTTGAACTAAAGAAATGATGGAAACCTGTATATTGTTTATTTTGATTTATTTTTTCTATCAGCCCTGTTATGGCTGAAATCATACATTCATCTCTTTTCGGTATTGGACTACAGATGTTTCAATGTCAGAGGTTGAGGGCCAAGTGGCAATGATGTTCGCCCAAATAACAGCGGTGGAGGCTCAGCCGGCAGGCATGTCAACTCAGCTTTCAGAGGTTGCTGTAGTAGTGTTAGGCTAGCTAGCAGAGGTGGTGTTCCAACTGGCAGCCAGTTAATTGTGAGGCCGGTCCAGTTGACGACAGAGGCCCAAGTTTTGGTTCAACATCATCAATCAAGAGGACTATCACCAAGGGAGTAAAGACTCCTCCAGCGGCTCCTCTTGTTGTCTAGTTGAGAGGGAAGAAATTTCATCTGTGCTGTATGTTGCACATACAGCACATTTGACAATAAAGTTGTACTTGACGTGAAGACAGTTATGGATGGTCAACCTGTACTAACCTCGTAGTTCACCTGGGGGTGCCCTAACATGGCCATAGTCTCGTACTTTTGTAAATAGCATGTCCTGACTCCATTTGGCTTGAAGCAGGGTTACATTGTTCCTTTTTCTTAGACATGTTGAGCTTAGTAGAAGAGAGAAATTATCCAAACAATGAAGACGTAGATTGAAATCAATGCATTTTTTTCACTGGATGGGTGACTTTCAGATCACACGTTAGACCACACAGTACCTGCCAAACTTGATGCCAGATCCTTGGCAGCCATCTTAGATAGCCTGTTTTTTTTTTTTGTTTGTTTTTTTCCCCTCCCCCCCAGCCAATGGCCATGCTTCCATGAAGAGGTGGCACGTTTTGGATAATAAACAATTGATTTCCTTTATTTGTTTTGTTTTATTATTTTTTATGTTATGTGTTGTGTTCATTATTTTACTTTATGTACGTGTTTATGTTTTATGTTGTGTGTTGTGTTTATTATTTTACTTGATAACTGTTTTGTTAAGCGCTTTGTTACAGCTGCCGCTGTTGTGAAAGCGCTATGTAAAACAGCATGTATTGTATTGTATTTTCTAGCATCGCTCATGTACAGGTTTATCTCCTCCATTGAATATTGATTCACAACTGTAAATGATTTTTTAAATTTTGATTTTTATGGCTAACTTGAGTTTGGTTTTTCTGTTTTGAGGCTTACCAATGGTGTTGTTGAACCATCGTTATTCACTTGGGTGAAGTCTTCTCTTGATTGTGAGCTTAAGTTGGTCAAACCTAATATTTTTTGAATAGCTGTTGTTTTTTTCAGCCTTATAATGGCTTGCTTCACTGTTACGAACAGCTCTTTGGATCCCACCCATATTGCAAGTTGACAGCAGCAAATCGCACACTTAATTCATTCACTGCCAATTTTTTTTTCATCCTGTCATTCAATTACAGATACAGCTTTGTGTAATTTTTTTTTTTTAAACGTGGTAGTGTAAGGAAAATTTTGACCTATTTGCGCCTTTTTACGTAAATGGGATGGGAAGGGAAAACACACCTGTTCCAATTCTCCCATTACTTTTGCCTCCTCAAACATGTGAGGCACATTATGTATATTTTTTGTAATTCCTACAGCATTGACCTGATTATTTCAGAAGCTAATCAGAATCCTAGATGATAAATGATGTTGCTGTTTGTATCAATGTAGTGTGGAGTTTGTGCCTCGCTACATAAAGACATCTGGAAATGCAACAGTGGATCACCTGTCTAAATACCTGGCTGTCCGTCTGGCTTTGGAGGAGCTTCGAAGAAATACCGAGGCGAGTCCTGTGAATGTGGAGGCAGCTTCAGAGAAGCAGTACACGATCTACATACCTACTGCAGGAAACCAGTTCACTGTGAGTACTAGACACACATAAATACAGTATCAAGGCACCATCGTCTGTGTGCGCCTATGTGGGTGAAAATACAACCCATACAAAATTATGGAATCACCAATCTCAGCAGTTCAGTTGTTTCATAGAAAAAAAAGGCAGATCAGATTTCAAATGGCATCCAGAAATACTAAAATAACCCCCCCCCCCCCACTCCCCAAAATCTGGTCGTGAGTAACAGTTAAATTTCCATTCTCAAAACTTGCATCAGATGACATCTGCTTGTAAAAACTGGTTTATTATGTACATGTACATTCCGTGTGCGAGCCAGCCGGCGCAAATTTTGCAGCATTAAAAAAAACCAACAAAAAAATCAGTTGGGAAATTTCACTTGATTGAAATAATTTTTTACACATGCCTCACGCGCATGCACATAAAACTGGTAAAGCTAGCAGTTTCCATTTTACTTTGTCTACTCTAAAATAAAATAGTTTAAAAATGATTAGGGGACCAAGTAAGCCAAGTATGACTATACAGAGTGAGGAGGATTTTTCAAAATGTTTCCTGATCAGATTGGATCCATCATTTGTTTTTCCGCAACTAAATTTCTGAATTCTCTCCATAGGTTCTGAATGGTTCTTTCTCTTTGGAGCTGGTCAGTGAAAAATACTGGAAGGTGAACAAACCCATGGAACTATATTTTGCCCCTACTAAGGAACACAAGTAAAGCATAGAGACCAGTTTCATTCATGAGGTCAAACTGTGTACTAGGACCTGTGTACACAAAGAAAAGGTGAATTGTGTCTGAAGGAAATGGGGAAAATTTGATGAATCTTCCCAAATGACTCTTGTAAATAGTTTGTAAAACTTTTCTTACATCCTCTCAAAATTGGTTGGTGTCTTTCCCCCGTAGAAGTTAGCAACCAGCAGGTGCCCAACCAAGTGATAAAAGACCACTAGCAGTTGTAGATGAATATAACAGTCATTCCGTTGAAAATGGCAACATGACTCTTTCAACAATGACCTCACGGGATTCGTCTTCATGAGAGCCCCCTTCATTTGTAGCTTTACTCAGTCTTGCATTGAATTTGAAGAGTATCCCCCACCCTCCCCATCTCCCCTTGTTCTTTGTGGAAAACACATACTGAAAATTTATCAGTGTTCTTTGAATAATTTCCTGGGTTATTTTTTTATGACCCCCAGTGGAGCAATCCGTGACCCTGCCAGGTTCCCAACCTCCGCGAAAAGCAAGCGTCCACTGTATGGGCATTTACTTCTCTAAATTCCCTTTGAAATAAGTGTATAGTTTGATCAGTGAATGATTCCCTGAGCTAATATGTTCTCGCATTCTGCCATGTGTAGTCAGTTGATCACTCCTTCGGTGTGCAGTTTTTGTTGTGTTTCCTCTTACTGTAAACTTCTTTGTGAATTGTGTTGTATTTCTCAAAAAGAACATTTTCATCTGATGTTTAAGTGCCATTTTGTAACATTAAATTGACTTCCAAAATGTATGGAGTGTGTGTGTCTGTGAGGAGGAGGGGGAGATGTTTGTGTGCCCATGTGTATGATGTGGCTCTTTGCAGTAACACAGTAAAAAAAAAAATGGCTCTTAGATCAGGGGTGGCCAACCAGTCAGAGACTAAGGTGTACCCAGCAGCAAATGTCCCTGAGGGGCAAGAAGGCTCCCCACTGCCTGCTCTTTTCATCTAAAAAATTGTATCCATAATGCTGAGAGTCCAGCTGGCTAATGCAGAGCAAAGTGTCCGCCTTCGCCGAGAGCCAGTACAAGAAAGGTATCAAATGTGATATCACTGTCATAACTTAAAATTTTCTGGAATGGCATGACAGCATGTTTAATGAAGTCGAAACATTCAGTTGACATTTTTTTTTCCCTTTCCACTTGTCCTGTCAGGGGTTGCCAGTGTGTCATCCTTTCACATCGGAACCTATCTTCTGTATCTTACTCTAAACACCCAACTGCCCTCATGTCTTCCATCACATCAACCTTCTTCAAAGTCTTTCTCTTGCTCTTTCCCAACAGCTCCATGCTTATTACCACCATCTAAGTCATGGGTGCTAATAATTAGCAGGGCGGGATGCTAGCTCGTATTAGCAGCTAATAAAAACGTTTATCACAGCCTATGGCGATCTTTGTTGACAGAAGTGTTGAAATTTAATATTCTACACATTTTTACAGCATTGAAAACGTTAAGAATGTTTGTGTCACGTTTTTCCTCATACAGAAACCATATTAAAACAAACAATATAGTTCCCTCCCCCATCTTTTTCCATTTTCAAACATTTTTGTAAAGGCTCCAGGGAGCTGCTAGGGCACTAAAGAGCAGATGTGATCATTCTTTCCTTCATTTTAGTATTCGAGATGTCGGCAGCATACAAGGATATCAATAGCATTTTTAGACTCATATCCTTGTTTTTGATGGTCAACTCTGATGCTTTGAAACTACTGGTTCAATAGCGAGCTCGAAAATTTTAATGGGAAAAGATGGCCATCTTGTCCATTTGCCCGGTGTGAAGGAAGACGACAGTACTCTGTTGGTTAGTATTCGTGCCGTAGGATTTTTGTAGATGAGTCCAACAAGTGATCCAAAAGTAGCTCCAAGATTGAATCTGGTAAGGACTTTGAAGAAATAATGCCAGTCCATCTGATCAAACACGTTTTCAGCATCTAGTGCAACTATAGCCAGACCAGGGGAGAGATCTTGCATTGTGTACACGATATTTAAAAAGGCGTCTCCTGATGAGACAATCTTGTGATATTTATTTATCGCCTTCTGTCTTTTCAGAAATATTCCCAAAACAATGTCAAAACTGTCGCAGAGGGGGACATTTTAGTGTGTTTATTTAGTTGCAAGGGAATTGATGTTGAGTGATTGTTTAAAACATTGTTTCATGTATCAACAAGCTTGAAAAATTGAGAGCTTCAATTTTCCATTTCAGCTAATGCTCGCAGACAGATTTGCTTCGTCTTAGCTCCGGCGAGAGGAGCCGCGACATAGAGCCGTTCAAAGGCGAGTCTGAATCACTATTGGCAGTATCTGCTGGCACAGGATTGCAGTCCATGAAAAAGCTGCTTTGGTGGAATGCAGGGAGGGTACAGATGCAGCAGCCGCGCCTTCTACTTCTTTAAATGTGCAGGGCAGAGCGAATCCGACTCGCATCTGCACCAAGCAGCAGCCGTGCTCCCCACCCGGCCGTCTCTCTTGCGCAACGTGGCATTTTCTTCCTTTGACGAATCTGAGTCAGTCTCGCCATTGTCATTGGTGGATTCTAAAACAATGAAATATCCCTGTGATCTCATTTCTTCTTGACTTCTGTCAGAATACTCCACTTTATCGACGACAATATGTCAACAACTATGGTCTGGCGTATCACTCAAAAGCGAGGGGTGGCTGCACGGGAAGTCTCAGTCAATGACCTGACATCATATCGGTTGCTAAGATGACACCTTGCAGTGAAATTAACCAGGGGGATTGCGGACGTGTTGTTTTGGCAAATACAAGACGAGACAAAGATGGCAACCCCAGATATTTATCAAACTTTACAATCATGCTCCGTTTCCCCCATCAACACCTGCAAATGTGCCAGGGGCAGATATACTTTCAAGAACACTATTAAAACAGTGAGCTAATTGCAGGTCTTCATCTAGTCCTATTCCATTGCTGCCTCCATTGCTCTGGCAATCATCAGTTTGACATCTTAGTTTTTGCCTCTGCTCAGACACAACTGATTCCTTCTTTTTCTTCATACGCTTCTCTTTGTTGAGGAGTTTTTGCTGCTTGTTTTTCATCATGGTCTGGATGCTCTGGTAAAACCTAGAAAGCACAAGTTATTGGACCCATGTCCACTTGAGCAAAGTTAACTGTTATCTTCGACAAAGACTTCACTCACCTTTCAATTCGTCTTAAATTCTCTTCCATCTTTTGATTGGCTATCCCAATTAAGAAATCTACATACTCATGCGAAACCAAGAGCTTGCCTTGGTTACCGAGCGGAACTTCCAGGCTATGGGTACAGCGGACTGCCTACGGAGAGAAAATACAAGACGTTAAAACTCTTTCAGTGCCATTGACCGCACGAGACGTTCAATGCATTAGAATGATGAATGATTTCTGCTCTCAACCTTGTCCAAATGCTCCCATCCATTTGACCGAATGTGCTTAGATGGTCCGCAATGTTAGGATTATTCGTTGTTTCAGCCATGTATACTAGTGTACTCCATTCCATTCTCTTCAAGTAGTTGAACGATACTAGAATTAACTAATTGTCACCGTTTTGTTCAATCTGGTCAGATGACCACCACCGGAAAAAAATTGGAGGACACTTGCTAAGCAAATTAATCTTAAAGCAATGTAATGTGTCTGTGTTTTTTTTTCCTCTAAATGATCCCCCCCCCCAATGTGCTGCAGTCGAGTCGATGTAAATAAGTTTATATAACGCAACATACAATTTTACAAAAATTGTAAAAGTATTATTCCTGAATATTTATTTCACTTCCAACCACTCGACATGTTCAGTGGCATCAGTGCTATACATACACATATACAAACATAAATATAAATCTATATAAATCTATATAAATAAAACATGAATTGGAATATTTCATATCACACAATTTTTATGCTTCGTCTTTGATTTAAAGATGACAATACGCAAAAATCTACAAAAATTGTAGAAATTGTAACACATGGGTTACAACAATAACAATAACTCGAGCTGTGAGAAGAAATCAAGGGCCCTTTCAGCCCTGTCAGTGTGGGGGTAGTGGCATGTTGGAATTTGATTTTTTTTTAAATAAAGTACATTAAAAGCTATTTTGAGAAAAATGAAGCAAAATTTGAAAGTGAAATTAAAAATAGCAACTTCCTTTTGAGTAGGGCTCATGACACTTTTTCTTTCGGGTTAGGTCTTGGACTCTTATATGTGCTTCCAACTTTCGGTAGCTCTCGGTGAAATGTTCAACCAGGGCTGTTTTGTTAAAATTTTCCTGGCAAATAGCCCGTTATCACAGCAACAGCCCTTGGCAAAATAAAGCTTTGCTTTCCCTTATCATCTTGAACATTTTAGGATGAAACACCTGCAAGACAATTAATAGGTGATTTTGCCAGGCTGTGTGTGCAAAGTCTGAGTTTTCATGCATGACCCTCATAATTAGTGTTATCTTGGTGAACTGTGCATTGCCATGGCAACAGCATTTTGCAAAAACTTCATGTTTTAACATCTTGAAGGCTGAAACGCTCTTCCAGTAAATATAAATTAGATCTGGTTATCCCGCGCTAAAACATTTACTTCCTTTACCCAGTAGGTGGCGGTACTGCTACATTGAAAAATAAGTTCGTGTCTTCAGGCCTGGACTTTCATCAAATAATTTGGAGAAGATAGGATCATCTGGGTCAAGTTACAGCAATGTTTATCGCCACAGCAAATTATCAGACTTTGTAACACCGTAATGGCCACGCCATTCGCTGAAACATTACAATGTTCGACGTAGAGCAATATCAAGATCTTGAGGCTTTTCTGACAAATTGTCAGACTCAACTGAGGGACTCTGTGCAGTTTATTGAATTGTAAAAAAATAAATAAATAAAAGACATTTCAAGTCATCACTAGGTGGCGCTATTTGTATTAAAAAAATCAGATAGATGGCTTCACGTAGCAAATATTTATACGCATGTCAAGGTTACGGTTTGTTTGGAGCATGTGCAGTGGAACGATTAAATATTTCTAACTTTGTAAAAAAAAGATTTATTGCGCCCAAATTTTGATGCGCGGCAGATTATTTTTCCCCTGTTGTTGTCTCAAGTTATAAAATGGCAAAGCCCAAGTTTGAAGTTAATCGGATAAATCCTCTAGAACAGGGGTCGTGAACCTATGGCTCGCGAGCCACATATGGCTCTTTTGCATCCTCTAGAACAGGGGTCGTGAACCTATGGCTCTTTTGATGATTGCATCTGCTCTACAACACGGGTGCAAAAGTATGACCCCTGTAAATGTGCAAAATGGGCCAAGATTAGACTTGGGTCACTCCCTGTTCATTTTAGACTATGGGTGCAAAGGACTTTTTTGTATGTCTCAGGATGCTACTGAACATATCCCACACCAATTTTCGGAGGTCAAGGTCAAACGTAAGCCCGGTGGTTGACTGGTTGGAGCCTTTTTGACTAAGAGAGCCAAAAAATCAAAATATTTGCAAATGTATTTCAGTGAGAGCCATA